TTTAATTTTTGTGTGTGTATTTGCAGTATCTGTTGCATTCTAGAATGGTGTAATTTTCTTAATGTAAACCATTTTCTCATTATTTGAATAAAATCCATTTAAATCAGTCGAATATAATCGAATCATGTCGATTCGAGAATTACTTGATTTGTATTTTCAAACCAAAGAGTGCATTAAATTGCATATAATTAATATATGCAATGGTGTATAATCGCTTAAAATTTGAGAAACAAAACTTAACATCGCTTTTTTCTCTACACTTGCGTGGAGCCGGTATAATAATTGCTTTGAAGGAATGAACGAGAGATAATCACACGAACAATGTTCCGACATAATTGAGCTTAAATTATTCAATAGAAAAATAAACAAAATGAATGTAATCGACAGAGAAAGCGCAATATACACAGTGTATATTACATGACAATTAACACACTGTGCCCATGGTAATTTTGGCTGAGTGCCGAGTTGATTTGAGAGAAAAGAGAGGTGATGGACATTTCGGTTTGAGAATCAATGTTCAAGTGGTATTATAGCAGGAAGTTTACTGAAGACTATCTGACTGAATAATCATGATATTACATTTGTACAAGAAAATTCTATTTGTGATGACGGACAAAATCTTCTTCTATTTTATGAAGCGAAATGGCGTGAGAAACTCATCGAACCCAAACCACTGGATCTGTCGCCTCGATGATGCCGAAATCGATTTTTCTTCTTCTTTCTTTCTTTGTTATAACAAATTTGAGGTTAGCCGAAAATCACTTTGCACCGCACACGCAACACGATTATTTCATATTTAATTTGGGTCTCTGTCTGACATCGTAATCACTTGTATGTTATTCAATCTTTCGGCTACCTGTTAAAAAACTATCTATTGTGTCTACGATAAAATGTTATCCGAATGATACAACACATGATGATCGTTCAATTGATGGTATGAATTACCGCTCGAGCGGACCGAGAGAAAAAAACACACAGTTGAATGAATATAACTTAAAGATATTTAAACGGCGAAACCACAATATTAATGTGTTATTGTAAAGGTTCAGTCTGCCGCATTTTGATCGTCGTCTAATCTGTCAATACTTCTGACTCCTTTCTATTCGATTTGTATTTCCTTTTCAAGGAGTCGAATTAATAAAACATTAAACATTCATTTACTTTAGTGTGTAGAGTTATCAACAATCATCAAAAACCTCTTTAAAATCAGCGCATAATTAGGAACATGATTAATGATATTTTGGTATTATTCTTATATTTTGAACCAGATTCAATGAAAATATAATAAAAAACCCATTGACATCAATCTATGCGGTTTCCCAATTCAGGCTTGAAGAATCGTATAATATATGTATGTATGTGTGCATTTCTGAATAGACACATCAAATTGAATGAAATGTCGTCCACAATTGGCAAATGAGTGTGGATCTGTATGTCGTGATTGAGAATCGATGCCATTTAGCTAGATCATTTTATGCATATGCGTCGAAACTCAAAGAAGATTGCTTGTTTTTCTTGGATATTTGTTCTTATTTTAGAATTTAAATGGCGATTTCCTTGACTTACGGTCGACGAATACTTCGTAAATAAGAACGCCGCTTGTTGTTGTTGCAACTAGTAATGAATATGTGTGCTGAGGTAAAAATGTTGAATAATTTAAATATTATAAAAAAACACACACACAAACATCAAAATGTATCAACAAGACGACGTAGAAGACGATATATAAAGACAAATGATCGACATGTTTCTATATACAGACACAACTTACATATAAATACCTGTTGTTGTAAATTGTATATAATTGAATGTCAATGCAAAATAAGTGGAACGAATCATTGCGGCGGATGAAACAACAAGTATGGAAAAGCCACAAGCACACAGCGTTGAACTACGAATGCAATACGCTTTGAGGGCGCAAATAGTTTTCAATTCCAATCCACGCACAACACATTTATTAACAACAAGCATTGAATTCAACAAACAACTTTGCCAATATATTCAATCAACATTCATTTTTTATATTTGATCATTTCATTTGTTAAATTGCATTCTCTGTGTGTGTATGTAAGGTGGAGAAAGGAGAAGAGAAAGAAGATTGTTGTTTCTAAATCTTTCGTGTCTTATTTCTTGTCTGTCTTTCTGTGTGTGTTTCTTATTGTTCTCTGTTTCCTTTCTGTAATATTATAATTCCATCAATTTGATCGCCGTTTGTAATGCTGACTTTTCCTTTGAATTCATCGCGTCTGTTCTGTGGTACGACTGGACATGGAAGAGAACAAAGAAATTGACATCATCAGCAATGATTATTTACTTATGTGACCGGCGATGACGACGATGCGGCCAGGCAATGCAAAGTAAAAGAAGACCAAAACAGAATTATCAACTGTTTTCTTATTAATACATGAGGAAGAATCGAAATGCAGCAACAACAGCAGCATCAACATGTAAACATGTAAATTATACGACGGATGTAAACCACATTCTTTAATAATAATTTCATTAAATGCGATCGGAGAACACTTGGACACACCACATACACACAACGCAAGTGTTCTTCTCCGAGTGCGCGCTCACGCATTACAATCACATATTTATTCAACAATTTCATAAGATCTAAGCTCTCGCACTATTCACAACAGTTGAAAGCGCAGAAAATGCGTGCAATGATAGAAACTGAAATTGCCGTGATGTGTTCGAATCTGTGGCTCTTTTTGATTCACTGTGCATATACCATTTTCGATTGCACCATTTTTATATTTTAACAGACATTTTTGCAATAAAAAACAATAAAATCAGAAGAACACACATCTTATGTCTATTTGATGACGTCACAAATTTGACTCCCAAAAATGCCCACACTCAAATTTGTGACACAACGTGTGGAACAGAAATGTGCAGAAATGAACCGTTTTGTAGATTTTCCAACTAAAATACAAATTATCCAGTAAAAAGTACTGGATTTACTGAAAACGACTGAAAATAGGCAATTGTAAAGAAAAAAATGTGGTACATTTCAGTACATTTTCGATACAGTAATGTGAAACAGACATTTAAATATACATACGAAGAATTACTTTGTCATGATGACCATTTCTCCCGGTTTTCTCGCAGTGCTTTGCTCAAACGCAACAGTTTCACTATGTTTCAGCAGCTCATACACTAGTTACCAGTACACCTTGCTGATACCACCAAATAAAGAGCATTAGCGTGAATATTTCGCTTTGGCGTGGATGTTAACTCTAGAGTTTGCCTTCACAGATTTATGATGGAGAGTGATAATGGCCTGAATTATGGCTGAATTCGGTTAGTTAGGGTCCAATCTCAATTTCCCGCTTGCCAACTCTTTGGGTGTAGTACAAAATTTCGCCGGAATTGCTCATGGTCGATATTTTCCAATATGAAAAATGTTTGATTTTCCATATAAATTGGCTCAAAAATGAAGTTTGCCCTAGTTTTGACTCCAATGGCAACGACTGACCGGCTGGCCAAAATTTTGTTTGTCGTTTGTGTAATTCCGTCGTGGCGCTAATTGTATGACAATTTGGGAATAATTTCGGTACGACTGCATATGGAATTTTATCAATTCAGAAAAAATTGGGAGTTATTTTGTTATTGAACTTATTTCTTTGATGAACTCAAATGCAAAATATTTTTTTTAGCTTGCAATTTATAAGTCAATTTATAAGTCATATTATATATCAGGTATTTCTTATTACTTTCATTACCTGACTCATTCGAATATTTTCAGTGATGAATGATGATTTCAGAGTGTAAACCACGAAATTCATATTTGGATTATTGGACACACAGAATATTTCCGGTGTAATAATTCTTCTTTTTTTTTTTTTCTTTTTTTTTCGAATTGGGGAGCTATTTGTAGCATCACGCGTACGCTTCAACAGTGTTTTGCGCAGACCCAATGGTGTTTTTACATGCAATTTACGTTTTTGTGCCATAGTCCGATGCATTTCCGGAAAGTACGCTATCTAGGCCGATGCACTCCTGAAGGTATGCTATCAAGCCTGATGCATTTTTTACGGGGTTACGCTATCTAATTAGCCTTGACACAAACCCTATTGCATGGTGCTGTCATTCGATTGACAGTGACAGTCACAATTCCACCGATACATATATGGCGTTGAGCTCTTTTTTCAAATGGGGGAATGCGAATACCACTGATTTACCGGTATATTCACCAGTAGTTCGGCACTACCTTTTTTGCGGTTTATGTATTGGACATTGATATATCCAAGACATCAACCTAACGCGAAGGCACTCCATTTTTACGTGTGTCTGTGCTGAACCCATATCTTCGCTGTGCACACACACACGGGACCGACGGCTTTAAGTGCCCTCCGAAGCACTCCACAAATCCGAGACACGGCCCAAACCTCTCCTCATTAAACCACTGACAATTCCTGAGCGAATCACGGTGGAAAAATACCGGACGAAATTTGACCGAGAATCGAACTCGTGTCCTCACGCTCACAAACCTGGCACGCTAACCACTAGTCTATGGCTGAGTCATCAATCATTTTCAAAAATCAACAATTTTTGTTGCAAATTTAAAAAATATTCAAAACACGAAAACCATTTAAAATATGTGATCTTTCAACTTTTCAAAAATTTTTGATTTCTTTCCATCTTATCAAAGATCACAGCATTCTAGATCAAAATCTCGTTATTATTTGTACTGCCAATTTCTGTATATATTGTGTTTTTATACTGAATTAAATTCGAATTATCCTACAATTATTGTTTATATTAACGGCTGGAAATTTATTATTTGACAAAAAAACAGTATTTTCGACCTCGATTTGTTTTTTCTGTGTGCGAATATTTGGCACTTTCAATAATAACAATTGAACAAATATTTCAAAATTTTCCATTAGAATGGAATTATAATTGAGAACGAATGGAATTATAATTGTTATAAGAATTCAAATTAATAAATTATCGTATGACTATCTGAATTTGGGGTGTGGTTTTTCACTATAAAAACCCTAGCTCAGAGAAGTTCAAAGTCAGTGTTGTACAAACAGAGTCTTGGCAAAGTAAGAAAGAAGAAAACGTATCCCCCATAAAAATGGCTTTTCAAAAGTTGCCTTTAAGTTATTCTGGTGAGTAAAATTTAAAATAATACATTAAGAAAACTTTTCACACTTACTTAGACTTAGATAAAATTAATGAATTAACTAGTAATTTAAATAAAATAAACTGGATTCAATGTTTTTTACTATTACATTCATCTCAATATTTTTGAATTACTTAAGGAGACTGAGATGACTGTATTAATTTAAAAAAATGATTTTTTATATTCATCCAGTTTATTGTTCAAACATCTATCAACAGATCCATTGAGATCACCCCAAAATGTATAAATTCCACTATGTTTTCATATAAATATATATATTTTTTGCAGTAAATGTTGTGATTTTCGTGGTTTGCCTTATTGCATTCAAAGCCTGTATGACATCGGCTGGTCTAGGAAAGAAAATTGCACCAATCCTTACCACGGCAAAAGAAATCAACAGCGTGTTATCGTCGTAAGTTTCCTAATTATTCATATCATTAATCATCGAATGACAATAGCTATTGCAAATTCCATATTTCTACATTATTGCGTCAGTGAACGTCTGTTTAACAATATGACGTTAATATTGATGTAATTAGTGAATTTAAATATTCCAAAATTGAACATCAAAGGTGTGTACATTTAAGACTCGTGTGTTAGCACAAGTTTGAATAAAACACGTGCCTTCTGTGTTTATTCATCTTTTTTGAAACAAATAAAAAACGTAATGCGCATGGAAAACAGTAATTCCTACGAAAACAAAAAGGAATGTGAAGTAAAATTTGTAATTAAAAAATTAAATTTCATAGCAAGATATTTATTGGGATTTGCAAGTTTAAGAAAATATCAACCATATGGTTAACAAATAAATTTTATAAAATTATAGTCTTTTTTGTGCAAATTAAAAAGATCAAATCATAATTTTTCGGTAATATTTTTTGAAAATTGAATGCATATCATTTATTTTCTCAGATACATTGAGAAAAAAAAGACGCTGGTATTATTGTTAGATTTTGATGGGACATTATCTAATATCGTTCCCGTTCCGGCGGATGCAAAAATTGTTCCTGAATCAAAAGTTGCTCTAACCAAATTAGCAAAGAACAAGAAAGTCTGCGTAGGAATTATATCTGGTCGCCTGATGCAGGAGGTTCGCGATAGGGTTCAAATACCAAATATCATTTACACTGGCAATCATGGCCTTGAAATTGAATACCCCATGCGAGAACCCTTTGCGTATCAAATGGAACCAGAAATTCAGGCGAAATACGACGAATTGGTTGCATATCTAAACACAAGTGTAAGTACAATATAAATTCATCACTTCATACTTTTTACACAGTAAAAAAATTACATAAAAAATAATAAATTAAATGTTTACTGTTCTCATCGAATTGAATAGTTGGCAGATGGCCGAGCTTTTGTCGAAGATAAAAAATACAGCCTCACCTTTCATTATCGTAACGTGAAGAAAGGTGAGTACGAATTCTTTAAAAATAAAGCGAAAAGAGCAATTGAAAGTTATGGATTCAAGGCGGAAGATGCCCTTTTGGCCGTAGAAGGCAAACCACCAATTGATTGGAACAAAGGTATAATATCTTAGTCCTAGAAAAAACCATCATTCTTAAATAGACACACAATAATTTCGGCGATTTTATTAGATAAAACTGTGCTACACATTTTGGAGCAAGAATTCAGTTCGGATTGGAGAACAAAAGTGAACGTTATTTATGCTGGGGATGATAAAGCTGATGAACTTGTCATGAAAGTAAATATAAAATAGTTATGAAAATGTAATGTACCTATTATAAATGTGTATTGTTTACTATATCAAATAGGTTTTAAAAGGATATGGAAGAACATTCCGTGTATCACAAGATCCAATTGAAACTTACGGTGACTTTCGTGTTCCTAACCCACAAACCGTAACAATGATTCTCGAAGCACTTTTGAAGATTAAGAAATAACCAAGTATAGCACATAAAGTGGTTTAACTCTAATGGTCATGTCACAATAATGTTACCAAAAACAGAGAAACACTATTATTCTGAAACATATTTGTATCATTTTTAATCCAAATGTAGTTTATTTTTCGTTTTTGTTAAGCTTGTATAAACTGCAATGTATAAATGTATAACAACAACATAATGTTATATCAACATTGAACTTTTGTTCAGATATTCATTAAGCGCCTTTATCCTTTGTATAAATTAACAATACATATCGAAAATCATAAATAAAATCTTCAAGGAAACCATAAAAATTTAAGCCTTTTTTGTTCATATCTACTGCGAGAAAAAAAACGGGGAATGAAAGATTATGGATGGATTTCTACAAATGCATGTAGAACGTCACAAAAAAATTCGAGTATTAGAAATGTCAATCAAATTTTTTCTTAGACTTTCTGATTTAGAGTCTCTGAATTCGAGGAAAATGTCTTCTTTTCAAAAATACAATTCGAGAATTAAAAAAAAACAACCGAAGCGATAAGCGTAAAGAACGTGAAACTTGAGGAGGACAAAGTAAATGCGAGCTCACATCTCCACACAAAATCCGATGGGCATGTCAAAATGGGGAGCCAAAATTGAAGACAGTTTTACATCTTCACTGTGTCATGTGGCAAAAAAAGTTATTTTGTCAGACACAAATCAGGTACTTGCAGTTCCCATATCCAGTATATGTTATTGCTTTTTCGATCGTTTCGGCTCGGCTCGATTCGCCTCGAAAATTTCAAGATAATTTACTGTGTGTACAAAACGTCGAGAAAAAAAAATTGCGTTCGAATAAATAGGTAACGAAGAAGCGAAAGAAGAAAAAAACGGACGAACAATTGTGAAAAATGTGTAAAGGAATGTTCAAACTGGTTGTGTAGCTACAAATCAATCCGGTAGCTGTTACGAAACGCACATACATACCCGAACACTGTATTTGGTGTAGCAAATGGATGTTCCTGCGCTTCATGCTATATGCATAACCTGAAAATTGATTCAGATTAAGCTTCTTACACAGGGATTTTGTCAATGTGTCTGTATTCTGTGTTGAGTCCTTCACCGTTCAATATCCCGATGTTGTTTGGTTTTTTGCCATTTGCCGCCAAAACAGATCACAAGCAAAATAATCGAACGAAATGAAAACAAAAAAAAACTTTTATGCCAAAAGTATATTTGGCTTAAAAAGACAAAAATTTTCTCTTCATGTGTGTGTGCTTGGGTGACTTTCGTGTCGATTTTTCGTTTTTCTGCTTCATTTTGTTCTCTTGATATGACATTTAGCTACACAGTTGGAAACGGTAAGGGAGACTTACTCTTCGCCGTCTCTCTCTCTCTCTCTCTCTCTCTCTCTCTCTCTCTATTGATAAAGTTGACTTTCAAATGCGATCCTACTTTATTTACATCGGCTAAGTGGTTCGAAACTGACTCGAAACAAAACAGTCGAAAAACACTAATTCACTCACTGTTCACTCTCCTGTTGTTCATTTTGTTTTTCTTTTCGTTTTGTTGTCGGATGAAAACTAAGCACATTGAACACACAGGTTAGAATACATGCATACGTATATTCTCAAGCCAAAAGCCAAGGTCAACTAAAAAATTCATGAGAAACACAATTTCATTTTGGAAAAGCAACACACACTGTAGATTTTGCATTATGTGTTCTAGTAGTGTTAGCGGATTGGAAATGAAAACGAAATAAACAGTTAAACATTACGAGAAATTCGAAAGCAGTCGTATTTTCGCCATTTCTTCCTTTTTTCTCTCGCCCAAATGCGTTTTATATTTTTATTCTGTTCATTCGACTCTTTTTTTTGCTCTTCTTTCAATCGTGCTCCAGAAGAAGGCATAAATTTTGCATTTTGAAGAACAAAAACCATTCTGAATATTAATGACTTGGGAAAGAGCTTGACGCGTGAAAAGCCAATCGTCGTTGCTAGCTGTGCCTCTTATTCACATAATGATGTGCTTGTGATGGAATACGCCGCTCCAAAGCAGTGGAGCAAAATCGGTTTTTTGCACATACACACACACACACATTGGTGTCAGCGTGACAGCCCGTCGAAAATTGAAAAAATATTATTATCGATGAAAAAGCAGCTGAAAACGAAAATCACATATTTTGAGTGAAAATGAGAATACATGAGATGAGGCAGCAAAAATAATCGTGAAAACATCTCCAAAGTCGGTACGATAATCGAGTCGATTTGCCGCAGTATTTTTTTTTTTCACTCTGCATCAACTTCTTCTCGCTGGTTCGCTCCCACTCTCGGTTTTCGTTCGCAAAAGAATACATTCATCTGAATTTAGAATTTTGCCTGTACGCTCAGGCGAGAAATCATTTTGAGCGCCGAATGAGAAAGAGTCGCATAGCCACTGAGAAAGAGTCGCAACTGTATTGTCGAAAGGAAAATTGGAAAATGGCACTATCCTGTGATTATTATGCACCCTGAGTTTTATACATTACATATTTGTAATGTTTTTCTACTTGCATATATAGAAAATGTCTGACATACACGGAGTGTATGAACTGAGAGTATGCGAACCGAACAAAAATTGAAATGGTAACAAACACAAACAATTTAGTTAAGTTGTGAAATTGTTTTTTGCACTCTTTGCTGTCGTCAACTTATCTGTCTCTCTGGATATATGTTTGTTTTCGAGTCAACGCTTAATTCAATTCTTTCTGCTCATCCTTTTTGCAATCTACATTTATTTTTTTTATTATCTCTCTCTCTCTCTTTTTGTTTCATTCTCCGTTCAACTTTTTCACTTTTCAATTTCATCTATTTTTCTATACGTTTTCAAACCCAATTAAAATCGAATTTTCAAATTTAAGCAGTAAACGGTGCAACATCTTCGTAGTGCAGTTGGTTGACCATTCATAAAAATTCTAAAATACATGAATATTTATGCACGGTTAGCAGTCACGGTACTATCGATTGACTATTCAGTGCCAGTGAAAATGATAATGTTATTCTCGCTGTGACATATTAAGCATACAAAAAGAATGCATGTTCAAAGCTCCAAAGGTCAAACAAAAATACTGAATATATAGTAGACAAAGGAAGAGAAAGTCTAGTCATTGGAATGGCAAATTAAGACTAACTTTATTGGCTCGTTTGTATCTTTAATATATATGTCATATGAAAACAGTCGACAATTCCATATCGTCGGCTCTTTTTACAGCTATTTACATTTTTGTAACGGTCAGCGATGTAGCATAATTAATTCCATCCAATAATATTTTTTTGTTACCAAATATATATCCATACAAGCTGTGAACGTTGAATACTATCTACATCAGTAGTGTGCGGAGGGGGGGTATTGATTTGGATGAGAATTTGGATGAGAATTTATTTTTCGTGAAATTTATTCGAAATTGCTAGGGTTTTTGATTCAAAAAGTGAAGACCTTTTTTTTTTTTTTTTTTTAGCTCATCAATGTAGAAAATTGAGGAAAATTCTTTCAATTTGCTAGGGTTTTTGGCTCCGAGAGATTTTTTTCCGATTTGCTAAGGTTTTTCGCGGAGAAAATTCTTTCGATTTGCTAGGGATTTTCGCCTCAAAAAGTGACTTCCAAAAAAAAAAAAAAAACGAAAATTTGTCTAATTTGCTAGAGAATTTTTTGTTTTTGGAAAATCACCCCCCCCTGAAAAATTTTCCTCGCACACTACTGATCTACATGATCAATTATTCAATTGAGTTTTTCAATCAAAATAATTTTAAAAGCGCAATGAAACGATTTTCGCACTGAAAGCAACGGATGTAGTGTTCTCTCGCTTCGAGGATGTTAAATAATTCTGCCCGATTTAATTATTGAATTTCTGTTTGTGTAGAAAAGTTTGGTTGTATGCGTTGACATAAAGTAAGTCCATATTGTGCACCTTCGCTACCATGATAATATATCAACTCGGGTAGGAATATCAAAAGCAAGCACTCAAAAAAACTTACTCCTAGCGCCACCAACCTATAAGTTGTGTATTGTGAGAGCCTCGAGCAAAATATGTCGCAATTCGGGCATTTGAATTTTTTCTTCATTGGCTGGTGAACATTTTCGACGTGTTCCCGCAAAGTTTGTAAACGAATGAACGATTTTTCGCACATTCCACACTTCTAAATTTTAGGAAAAAAATGAAAGTAAAGCACAAAAAACAACCAATAATGAATCAAGAAAATAAAAATGTAAAAATTAAGAAAAAAAATTCACAGTAAAATGATGATTAATAAATAAAAAAAGCTAAATTACTTTTCGCATGTTTAATGTTTATAGTTGAAACACAAACACCTAATTGCCGGTTTTACAAATGTCAAAAAATAGTTGTCACATATATACAATCTGTCTGAAGTTGGCTCTCACAATACACAACTTTATTGAGTGAATTCTTTTGATATTTCGACTTGTTAAAACGATGCATTCACGTTTTTTATTGCCGATTAATATTTTTTTATGAATAAAACATTTTTTTTAAAGATTGGCAATCATAATATTCATTAAATCAACCACTAGAAACATATTTGTGGATTCATTTCGTTTTGATATTAGAATAGTAATCGATACGAAAGTAGATGGCGGTAGGATGTAAAAATCTTTTTGCAAAAGTGACATTTCAGTACAAAATACGTTTTGATATTCCTACCTGATCAACTGCTGCTGTAACCACTGCCATGGCCACAATTTCCATTACCAACTTTGCCGATTTAAATTAAAAAGTGAATTGAATGCAACTCAACCTACTACTCTGTATATGAATAAAATATTTTAATTACATACACTTATTTGCATATTTTGGATTACCAAACACGCCTGTCCTGAAAGATAAAAATTTATTCCTGATTAAAATCAGTGGCATTGTTGATGTTTTACCTACGCAGGCCTAGGCACTGAACGGCAAAAATATTTTCACATTATTAAAATTGTCAATGGCGACTGTTCTGATGCGAATCGGCTTGACTTGAGTTGAACTCTTCGAATTAAAAAAAATACACACAGATATAATTTAATTGGAATAAATGTGAGCATATAGACAAAACAAAATGCATCAACTTCTACCATGACAAAAAATTATCAATGTATTCATAATTAAATTGCACGATTTTAAAATTCCCATTATTCTGTTCGGTTTGAATTGGCGGTTAATTGTTTTTTTTAGTCTTCTTTCATCAAGTTGCAGAGAGTTTTCTAGGACTGTTATCGTTCGTGATGAATCAAAATAAAACCTTCGCGTTGATTTGAATGCTACAGATTTTGAGATTGCCCCAGAGCTAATTTTCAC